CTCAAAACAACTGTCAAACAATATCAAAGTCAGAAGTTTCAATACATATGTCAAAACAGTTCTACTGTATAGGGCGGAAACATAGAGAACTACGAAAGCCATCATTCAGAAAATACAAGTGTTTGTTAACAGTTGCTGACGCAAAATACTTCGGATTCGTTGGTCAGACACTATCAGCAACAACCTGCTATAGGAGAGAACAATATAGATCTCAATGGGGAAAGAAATCAGGAAGAAGTGCTGGAAGTGGATGGGTCACACATTGATGAAAGCACCCAAGTGTGTCACAAGGTAAATCCTCACATGGAATCCTGAATGCCAAATGAGAAGAGGAAGACCAAATAACACATTACGCTGAGAAATGGAGACAGACAGATATGAGAAGAATGAGCAGCAGTTTGATAGAAGTAGAAAAGAAGGTCCAGGACAGAGTATGTTGTAGAATGCTGGTCGCCTACCTATGTTCCACCAGGCGAAGTAATGAGATGAATAGAAAAGAAATATGTATTCATTATCGACTCAACTAAATATGTATGTCCAACTCTAATACATGTATTTTTATTATATCCCTCTTTCATTTTAGATTCTTAAACTGTAACCATACTCTGTTATTCTGTATGAAATGACTATTAGCATTGTCATTAATAATCTTTATAAACTTATGACTTAAGTAAACAAACAGAGATATAGTTTGTTTGTGAAAGTGAAATAAACATTAAACGTGTGTGTGTGTGTGTGTGTTTGTGTATGTACGATAGAATATTAATACAAATCAGCATCAATCAATGTAATCATATCTGATTCCCCTGTGAAATTAAATATACACATCTACACCCCTATATATATACACATGTATTTACTCTAATTATCTTTGTTTCTACAACTGGTATACATTAGACGAGAAGTAATTGAGATAAGATACAAAGATTAATGATGATGATGATGATAACCATGAAATTAATTCACATGAAATTGAAAATGGGAAAAATAAAATAATAAAAAACTAACTAAAAAAGGTTTATTTTTGTACAAAGGGAAATCACAAACTAAACTATAATAACTAATCCATATACAATTGTGTACATGATTATAAAAATATATTACTGATTGAAATCATGAATGAATTGAAATTAGATAATCATGAAAAACCTGGAAGCACTTTTGGATAGGTCCTGAGTTTGAATCTTCCGATGTAGAGGATTGTGAATACACACTATTGAAGAGTTTCATAATGGGACGAAACAGTCGTCTAATATTTTCAGGTTTTCCATGATTGTCTAGTTTCAATTGACTCATGATCTTAACTATTGAAATTATTATAATATTCACGAAAATTCTTCTTCTGATAAAAAGAATTTTGTAGGGATTTATTCCCTAACAGAAATCAATCTGTAATCAATATAAACTTTTCTTTATGTTTAGATCTTCAGTTTTAAAAAATTACCTTGTATAGTTTATTCCTTAATATTATTTGTTCTTTATGAATGATGTTGTTTATGTCGGATACTTTCTATTATTATTGATTTTGTTAATAAATCTATTATCATGATATTTGTCTTGATAATTCAATCTAACTTTAAGCAACAATGAAAGCATGTACGGGATGCGATTCTCTCCCCCCCGAAATGCAAGATGTTTCTTCAGGATTGGGTTGCATCGACACCTGAACTAATGATAGGGAGTGAAGTAGTTGAGCGTGTCGACCGCTTCACTTATCTGGGAAGTCTCATCAGCCCTTGTGTTCTGGTGCGTGACGAAATCGCAACACGGATACAGAGGGCTCGACTAGCTTTTATCAACTTGCCCCGTTTATGGCGTAGGCGAGACATCCGTCTATCAACCAAAGGACGTGTTTACTGCGCAGCCGTTCCTTCCGTCATACTTTATGACAGTGAAACATGGCCGGTAAGAGTAGAGGATGCGTATAGAAGTAGTATCTTTAAACACTTCTCCTCCTTTGGCCAACTTCAAAGCCAACTAATCAATAGTAATCTTAACTATTGAATGATCTTAATTTGATTATTGTACTTCTGACCATTCTTAGTCTCTATTATCTTTATTCATAAATCTTTGTATTATTATTATTATTAATACTATTGGTTAAACAGTATTGTCTCCTTAATACATGATTCATTTACTTCGCCTTCATCCCATCTTATTATGTCTTACTAATAATAATCGTGGATGCGTACTGATGAGGAGCATCATACTGGGACGAAACAACAGTCTAATGCTTCTAGGTTTTCTATGATGATCTAGGTTTAATCGACTCATGAATTCAACTAATAAATAATAGTTTTTTACACAATATAGTCTCCTATAAAGCATTTGATCGAATTTATAATTGTACTACTAATTCTCTCTCACCTTATCTGATCCATATTTATTCTGATCATAGATCATTTAACATAGAAGCTGATTCAAGTTAACATTCCAAATGAGCCATAGTCAACATGAACAGCTGTATTCTATCTTGTTTGATAATCATAAATTCACATGTTTTAACTTTAAATGATACAGTTTGCCCATAATCTGGGCATTTTTCAGATTATTCATTTGGATACATTGTAGTACATGAAAACATAAGTGGGGACAATCAAATGTATTTAAACACAAAATTACAGAATATCCTGGTAAAATTTAACTTCCATACAGTAAATACTTCATTTGCAAAATGTTAATTAAATGTCTCAGACTTCGTTGTTCCATCGTTTCCATAGCAATCATTCTTTGTTCACATTCTCTTCTCTTCAATCTTTTTAACCTTTTGCCTCGTTGCATTTCACTTTCGATTGACGATACATACTACTTATATATGTGTCGATATCAGTAGCACACACCACAATATAATTGTAGAACCTGAATAGAATTTGTTGGAAAGAATACTTTTCATTCAATATATTAGTGTTTTAATAATGATGGGGACCTTTGAACAATTAATTGGTAACATTTAAAATTTAAAAAGTTTATTTTATTGATTATTAATAACATATTGATGGAGTTTTATCCTCTGAGCTGGATGGTTTGGTCGTGGAGCTTTCATCGTTCTTCTGAACGACATCATCAGCACAAACTTCAGGTAGACCAGCTCAGAGAACAAAACTCCATCAAAATCATCCACCTGAGCTACAAATCTTCTCCACCATTAATAATATTTCACTGATGATATCATTTTCAACTCTATAAAAACTCTATTCACATTGATTTGTCTAATGATTATCAATTTGTTATTGATTATCTATGAGGTGTTTTGTGGGGATGATAGTAATTTAATAGTTGAATTCATAAGTCATTTGAAGCTAGATCACCATGGAAAACCTGGAAATACTGGACGGCCATTTCATTCTGTTGTGAGACTTCTCAGCAGTACGCATCCACGGTCCCCCACCAAAGAGACTTGAACCCAGGATCTTTTGGCCTGAAGCTCGAACGTGAATGGTCTACAAATGGTATTTCCTTGAGTTTCAGTGAGAAGCAGTGACCACTGGAGTTCAACTGGGTCTATTGTGAGATAGTAACTCACTGATGACAATGGTGAATGTGTCGCTCAATTTCTTGGATTGGTTAAATTTAGAAATTAAGATCGTTGAATACAAATCGCCCAATGGTCTAAAGCTTAAGGGATCGCGCGCAAGACCGATAAGCCTTTCGTTCGATTCTCGTGTGGCGGGATCGTGGATGCACACTTTTGAGGAGTTACAATACTAAGATAAACTGACCGTCCAGTGCTTCCAGGTTTTCCATGGTAGTCTAGTTTCAATCGACTCATGAATTCAAATTGTTATTTATTTGTTTAGTATTTAGAAATGGTATCATTCGACAACAACAACAAAACCAACAACAAAAAGAGATAGTTCACCTTCTCTAAGGGATGATTGTACCAAATACCAAGTCATTACAATATGACCTATGTGATTCAGCATTTTTATGAGAATTTTAAATAAAAACAATATGAAATGGTAAACATCATTTCTTTATCAATAGATGTGTACATTGTCATATTAAACATATAATCAGTTAAGTATGTGGAAAAGATAATGAACACTTTGTTAAGATAAACATTTTGTGTTGGATAAAAAAAAGGGGAGAAGACAAATTCATAATAAACTAAGTGATTGAATATAAACTATCTAAGTAAACAGCAGATATGTATTTGATTGTGATGGATTTTGTTAGAGTTTTAATAAGAAGTAATAGGTGGAGACAGTTATCCGCATCGAATAATGAATGAAGTGTTGTGTAAGTTCATGAATCGATTGAAATTAGTCATTAAAACCGTTGGATGCCAGTTGACTCAGTAGTTTTGAGATTAAGTATTCGCGCAGGAAACTGAAGGTCCTAGGTTCAATTCCCTTTTGATGTGAACTATTGAGGAAGTCACATACTCAGTCAGTCAGTCAGTCAGTCAGCTACAATGTAGAACCAGGCACATTTATACATCGGTCCAAGTTGCCATACTTAATTATGACAAACAAGATGAACCCCGGATTCATAGAAGTAGATACGTCAATGGTGATAATATATAAAAGAAAGATTCCATATAAGGATATAGTACAGGAAGAAATAATTAGTTCGTAGAATTAAAGATATGAAGTGATTCTAATCTCATAGTTTAAGGAAAAACAAAGTGTATACACCGACGCCATTGTGATCGATTCTGAGGCATGTCATCCACAGAGTCCCCAATCATTTGTTACGACAGTCACACGGACCCCAACCAAGTAGTCTGCATCTACCGACATGGCTAAGACTAAAAGTTAGTGACTTCAAGCACTGATGCCACGTTTTGATTTGGCCACCCTTAACGTTTTTTCGAACCATCACTAATACTAGTCAACATTGCGTGGCATATACTACGGCGAGTTGGTCATCTAATGTTTCATGAATTCAACTGTTTAAAACAGAAAAATAAATAGTTTAGTATGTTTTAAAATCAATAATTCCTGCTTCATTTTGATTTTTTTTATCCTTCTATTTTATTTTGAAACATCTACACAAAGGTATTTGAATGTAATCGTGTTGGGAATCGAATACAAAAACCACCAATATGTGCAGAGATTATTTGTCATGTTGATGAATTAGTGAAAAATCGTCCTGTTTTAATTAAAGTTACTGGATGGTTATGGGCACGTACTCTGTTTGCGAAACATATATCAGATGTTGATGTAAGTCTTGTTCATTTCTATCTATGATTAAGTTCTGTACTGTTTATATATATTGAACTGAATAAGACATAGATGACCATCTAATCATCAAATGATTTTTATAATACACTTTTCGTTACTGCAGTTATTTTTCATATAGGTACCATCCACTATTATCTGACATCTCCTTGGATATTCTGTACCTGTCGATTCATTTCCCTTTCTGTTTTGGGACTTTTAGTTCTTAAAAAAACTCGTAAACTATTCAACTAATCTGGCCATTGTAGCAGCAGTTTCTTCATCAGTAGGCCTCAACATACAAAAAGGGAAAACCAAGGTGCTCAAATACAACACGGAGAACACCAACCCAATCACACTTGATGGCGAAACTCTGGAAGATGTAGAATCCTTCACATACCTGGGAAGCATCATCGATGAACAAGGAGGTTCGGATGCAGATGTAAAGTCGAGGATTAACAAAGCAAGGGCGTCATTTCTACATTTAAAGAACATATGGAATTCAAAACAACTTTCACCCAATATCAAAATGAGAATCTTCAATACGAACGTCAAGACAGTTATACAGTACGGAAATAAAACTCGAAGAACTACAACAACCATCATCAATAAGGTACGAGTATTTATAAATAGATTGTTGTCTACGCAAGATAATCAATATCCATTGACCGGATACCATCAGTAACAGCCTTCTGTTGGAGAGAACAAACAAGCGATTTGCTGAGGAGTCTCATATTATGATGAAATGGCCATCCAATACTTCGAGAGTTTCCATGATGATCTAGCTTTAATTGACTCAGAAATTATATTATTAAAATTACATATTATGAAGTTAGTGAAATATATCAATTTCGCAATGGAATTTTTGTTAATAAACACAGATCTGTGTTTGGTTTGAAAAGTTAAGCGTTCTCGCGAGAGACTGTTAAGTCTTGAGTTCGAATCCCTCGGAGCGGGACCGTGAATGTGCACTGCTGAGGAGTCCCACATTGGGACGAAACAGTCATCGATTGCTTTCAAGTTCTTCATCATAGTCTAGCCTCAATTAACTCATGAATTCAATTATAAAATAACTAAAATCTCCACAAATCCCCCCTTCTGATAATTTAATTTATGCATGAATTAGTAATGTAAACTAATGTTATAAAAACTGTCATTTTGGATAAATACAATCTCAAGAGAGTATAACCACCACCACCACCAACACCACCACCACTATCATCATCACCACCACCACCAACGACAACAACAAAAAGGAATGAAACTGTTTATTTATTTTTCACTTGTAAAATGTTTTTTTTTCTTTTGACACATGATAATAACTTTCTATTTTATGACTAAATAGATAAATAAACATGAATAGATCATATAGACTATTGTATTATGCATAACAACTAATCAATGTGACATGTACAAGTAGCGGAACAATTTTAATCTGTCTATCAAATTGAATAATTTATCTTATTTACATTTGTAATTATCAATGAATCATAGTAATAATAATAATAATGTTAGAACTAAGGTAAGGTAAACATTGTTCTTGTTCATTTTTAGTACCTTTAATGTAAATAAAAGGATTTGACTAACTATCATCTACTGGTTTAGTAAATGTGAATACCAGTTAGGACAATCGAATATATTTGAATACACAAATTACAGAACGCCTTAATAAAATCTAAGAATCATACAATGAATAGTTCATTTTGATAGAGTTTTTATTCTCTGAGCTGGATGGTTTGGTCGTGGAGATTTCATCATTCTTTTGAACGACATCATCAGTACAAACTTCAGATAGAAGTGAAGTGTTCGGATTTCTCCATATGCGTTTTACAGTTTGTTCTGTACACTTCTAGCTGAGAGAACAAAACCCCATCAAAATCATCCACTTGAGGTACAAATCTTCACCATCTCGAATAGTTCATTTACAAAATGTTAATCAATTGTCTCAGACTTTATTGTTTCTTCGTTTCCACATCGATCTTTCTTAGTTCTTATTTTTTTTTTCTTTGATCTACTTAACCTTCTGCCTTCAGGGCGCTTCACTTTCAATTGATGATACTTACTATTTATATATCTGTCGATATCAGTGTCATACATCACACTGGGAATTCCATATTATACTAAACATAATATTAGATGTATTCTACTCTGTAGAAATGTAAAAATTGATTGATACCTATAGAAGCAACCGAACACGCTAATTTTTTATACATAATCAAACCAATTACGTTATTATTTATTTGAACATACACAAAGGGGCACCGAATAAATATGCGCCACACAAGTTACTTGATTTGTGTGTGGACTGTAAAGCTGCTCGGGTGCCCGAACTGAAGTAGGTGGTTTTCTTAGAAAGTCACATCCAGAGCCTTGAACCTAAAGATGTAATCCATAAGGCAGTGGAGCAACTTTAGGAGATGCAGTCCCATAGTAGCCAGTGACCAATAATTGGTTCATACTCTATCTGTTCCTTCAGGATCCTGCAGCCCATGTACACCATTGTTTTGGAATGAGGGTTTCCCAACTGCCATAGGTCAATCCTTCATATTAAGCAACGTGATTAAAGTGCCAGACATTCACTTTTTGTTCTTTCAATTTCGTGAAAAACAACCTCGCCTCGAGAAGGCAATGAATAGGAATTCCTTGGCAGTGACTGTATACACATGACCGAGTGTGAGCATTTGGAATGGGAGAGTTAACTTTCCTCATCCTCAGCTATACCAGGGCATTTAGAGGAAGTTAGATATTCACAATATAAAATGACTTTTTCCAACAACATACTATTTGACTTTGAACTGTAGGTTAATGGTAAGAATCTTCTTATGTATCAATGATGAAGTAGTTTATGTGAATACTTATCAAGGTTACTTTTTCAACTTAGAGTTTTACAGAACTAAGTTGGTGAATAGATAAAAAGACATTAGTTATAAAATTATATTTATAAAATGGTTTTAATGATTTAAATTTAGGTTCAATGTTCCAGCTGACAATCTAGTCTAAGCCTTTCCATGGAAATAATGAAAAGCAAATTTGTTATGAATAAATATAATGAAAAACAATTCCTAACTAGAAACTTGTTGGATGGTGTTCGGAGGTGTCCGGTATCCGATGGTGTTAATGTCCAACTGCAACTAATCCAAGAAATTGAGCGACACATCCACTATTGTCATCAATGAGTTACTATCTTACAATAGACCCAGTTGAACTCCAGTAGTCACTGCTTCTCACTAGAACTCTAGGAAATACATCTTGGAGAAAGTCACTAGTGATTCCCATATTAGGACGAAATAGTCATCCAATACTTCCAGGTTTTTCATAATGTTCTACCTTTAATTGATTTATGAATTCAACTATTAAATTTTTTAAAAAACAATATTGTGATTGCAATTGATTAGTCTCTTATTGATACACATGGATCCTGTACAGATTATCTTGATATTGTCTTAAATCACAAGGATGGATAATTTACTCAGAGGTAGACAAATGAGGATCAACTAACCAAAGTCATTCATTCACAATGGTTGGTCCATATATACACTGTGGATATACATATATATGTGTGTATAGGTGTATAGGTATACAAATACTTTTACATTGACATTATGATGATGATGTTTCAATTGGCATCGAAACGATGATTTCCTCTTTCACTTTGTTTTTTTTTCTTCTTCTTCCCTCTTACAGCTTGTCACAATTATATCTGTCAATCAAGGTGATATACCAAATGGTGTACAACCAGCGAATGAACCAGTTGGACATTTTTATTTATCACAAACATTTTTCTTTCCACAAATTCGTCCAAAATTAATTCATCAATTACCAATATGGCCAATTATTGTTGGCATTGTATTAGGTGTTTTATTTTTATATTTATTAATTATTTTATTATATTTATTAGGATTCTTTCATAGACGTAAAACAGAATTACGTAAAGCAATGCTTAGTAAAGGTGGCGCTGATGATACATATAAACGTGAACAAACTGAATTATTATTAAATGATCAAATGAAATTAAAACAACAATCGATAACAACAGAAAATGTCAATAAGAATAAGAATAGTTATCAACATTTTGATGGTTATACAAATGCAACACCAACACCACCACCACCACCATCATCATCATCATCATCTATAATGAATCATAAAAGTAAAAAATTAAAAAAGAAACATAAACGTGAATTGAATATTTTACATCCTGGTGATTTATCACCATCTGGTACATTAATTAATACGCATCAGGATCAGAATTATGATCGGGATCATCATCATGGTGATGATGAACAACAGAATAAAAATGAATCTGAAAAACAAAATTTAATCACTGATTCTACTTCATCTCAATGAAATCTGTTTAAGAAATCGGTTAAAAGGCCTTGATAATGTGTATTTTATTTAATCATTTGTCATTGCTTCTTCTTTTATGAATGTTTATATTCGTGTGTGTATCTGTGTGCGTGTGAGAGGGAGAGAGAGAGAAAGTCAGTACATGTGTAGAGACATTAAATAAACATAGTTACCAGTTTATAGTTTGTCTTCCTTTTGTTTTTTGTCTTTGGTGTTTTTTTCTCTCTCTCTCAATTTTTTTTATTTAAAGTGTATAAATCTATATTTTATTTAATTCTTTCGATTTATTGTGATACACCTCTCTCTCTTTATATCAGCCGGCTTATTGTCTACACATCTATTACTTACTATATATGCATAAATAAAGATTTCATTTTAGTCTTTTGTTGAGTTTGATTTAATGTCGATATTACGTTGATTGTTCGAGTGACTGACTCACTGATTTGACAAACTTAGTATTTTGCTTGACTTCAGTTATTCACCTGTTGTTCATAGTTCTGTTTATTTTCGTTTTTGTTTCTTTTCATGGCAAGATATATATTTATTCACTGGTATTAATCTCTTTCTCTCTCTCTCTCTCACACACACACACTCTATAGAATTGGAAATAGGTGCCAGTGAGTGAGATAATGAACAAGAAGAGAGTGAAAGAGATCCGCTATTTGTTTTTACAATTGTTGTTCTATGCCATTCTGTTATATTTTGTTCAAATGAGCTTTTTAGCTTAGTTTATTATTATTATTTCAAGTAACATAATAAATACAATTGATAGTAACAATAACAGCATGATGAATTAGAAAGAAGAAGAAACGGGAGATGATGATGATGATGAGAAGGAGGAAGAAGAAGAAGAAGAAACAACATCGTGATAACAATAATTATCATATGGTTTTTTGTTTAAAAGTCAATCATTATCAAACTTGTTTTTATTTATGATTAGAAACGATTGTTCATTCATATCTATTACATAATAAAATTAATGACTATGGTGAAAAGATATAGATATACAGAGAGATACATACATAAATAGATAGATAGATAAGCACACACACATCCATCCATACACAACACATCAATGTTTATATTTTATTAAAATTGTTGCTATGCAAAATGTTATACAATTATTGATCATATTTATGATGAAAAGACAATTTGTAGTTGAGTAATGTTTACTATCACTATTTAATTATTTTCTATGAGAATAAAATGAAATATGTTCTAATGGACTTTTGATTTATATTATATTTCAATGATTAAGATCATGAGTTAGTTGAAGCTAGATCACCATGGAAAACCTAGAAGCACTGGATGGCTGTTTCATTCTATTATGGGGTTCCTCAGTAGTGTACATCGAGGATACCATTTCGTGAGATTTGAACCATAGAACCCATTAGTCTCGCATGCAAGTGCTTAACCACTAGACTACTTTTATTTATATGGAAAAAATATTTTTTTCATTTATATGGAGTTCTGTAGGTTATATTGGTCAAAGGCTAATATCAGTTAGGGGGTACCAGTGAAAATGAGAAAATACTGAACAGCTATTAGTATTTGACCACAGATGTCTTAGAAATATTGCTTGCAGCTGCTGAGGATTACCGGGTAAGTAATGGTGAGGTTAGACGCAGGGTATTAGAGAATGATGGTAAATCAGTTGATGAGGTTGTTAATCTTCATCGACTGAGATGGTTGGGCCACGTGTTACGTATGCCTGAACACCGAGTACCACGACGTGCGATACTAACCGGTGTAGGGGATGGTTGGAAGAAAGTAAGGGGCGGCCAAACCAAAACGTGGCATCAATGCTTGAAGTCACTAACTTCTAGTCTTAGCCATGTTGGTAGATGCAGACTACTTGGTTGGGGTCCGCGTGACTATCGTAACCGATGGTTGGAGACTGTGGGTGACATGGCTCAGAATCGATCACAATAGCGTCGGTGCATACACTCCCGGACTTCCCTTAAACTAAGAGATTAAAATCGCTTCATATCTTTCTTTCTACGAACTAATTCTATATTCCGGTACTGTATCCTTATATGCAATCTTTCTCCTATATATTACCACCTTTAATCTAACCACTCCCATGAATCCGGTGTTCATCTTGCTGTGCTAATGAGGTATGGCAACCTGGACCGATGCATATATGTGCCTGGTCCTACATTGTAGCTGACTGACTGACTGTTTTATGAGATTTCGTCCGATACCAGCCCGTTAGGGTTGATCAGACTTCCAAGATAAGTGAAGTTGCCGACGCGTTCGACCACTTCATAAAACAATCATAATGATGTAAATAAATATTTGAGGTTATGATTTCATTCTGATTCAGTGTCTTCAAATGATGTAAACTTGTTGACTATTTCTAAATAACAAGTATTAATAAATTTATTTAAACACATAAACAATGGTACAAGGAGGCACCAAACAGATATGCTTCATATAAATCATTCGATTCGTGTGAAAAATGGGATACTACTTGAGTGGCAAAACTGAAGCAGGTGGTTTTCTTAGAGGGCCATACCCGGAGCCTTCGACCTAAAGGTCTAATCCATAAGACAGTGGAGCAACACAAGGAGATGAAGTTTCATGGTAGCCAATGGTGACTATGAGCACTGTTTTGGAGTGTAATCTTTAACATGTTCACTTAGTCATAGGGTTCACTAAGTAACAAGTTCATTTATGCCAATCAGACTAATGGTCTTCTGGTTAACCAATAACGTAACTAATCGTCACTAATGACCCGAAACTTACTACTTACTTACGCCTGTTACTCCTCGTGAAGGAGCATAGGCCACTCACCAGCATTCTCTATCCAACCCTGTCCGGGGCAATACTTTCTAGCTCCGTTCAGTTGTAATTCATCGTTTTCATATCTGCTTCTATTATTCAACGCAATGTGTTCTTAGGCCTTCCTCTTTTTTGCTTCTCTTCAGGATTCCAAGTTAGCGCTTGCCTCGTGATGCAGTTTGGCGATTTGCTTAATGTATGTCCTATCCATTTCCATCGTCTTTTCCTAATTTCTTCTTCAGCTGGAAGTTGGTTTGTTCTCTCCCACCGAAGGCTATTGCTGATGGTATCCGGCCAATGGATGTTGAGTATCTTGCGTAGACAGCTATTTATAAATATTTATACCTTTTTGATGGTTGTTGTTGTAGTTCTCCAAGTTTCAGCTCCATACAGTAGAACTGCCTTGACGTTGGTATTGAAGATTCTCACTTTGATATTGGTTGAAAGTTCTTTTGAGTTCCATATGTTCTTTAACTGTAGGAATGCTGTCCTTGCTTTGCCAATCCTTGCCTTTACGTCTGCATCTGAACCTCCTTGTTCATCGATGATGCTTCCCAGGTATGTGAAGGATTCTACATCTTCCAGAGTTTCGCCATCAAGAGTGATTGGATTGTTGTTTTCCGCTTTGAATTTGAGGACTTTGGTTTTCCCTTTGTGTATACTGAGGCCTACTGATGCAGAGACTGCTGCTACACTGGCTGTCTTCATCTGCATCTGTTCGTGTGTATGCGATAGGAGGGCTAGGTCATCTGCGAAGTCCAAAATGACCCGAAAGCCTAGATCTTATCGATTCATGCAGCTCTTTTGATCTTAAATAGCTGGTCAGAGGACGAAGAGATCTAGTCAATATACCTTCGGTCAGAAAATGCAAAAACTTATACATTAATTACACGACCACAATGCATCACAAATAAGTAGCTGATGTTTTTAACTAACTCAGTAACATGTGATATAAAAATGAATAATAGATTCACAATTAATTTATGATAATTTACTAACGGAAAACATACAACAACAGTGAGTGAAATAAATGAATGCTTACAACACGAACTGTTATATTCCGATGAGAACAATGAATGGTGACTGTTGGAATTTATTTCTGGACTAATACTAAACGTATATTTTTGTCGCATAACTGTTAAGCAACTAAACTATTCATATTCGTGTTCCTCTTATTATGAGCTTTATTTTCACCTATGAACTAGTATCAAACGATTTACCATTCTTAAGTTATGCCCTGTCTATCAATTACTCTCCTCCACATTCACAGCCACATTTGGCTAAATCTTGTACAAATGTTGTTCCCTACTTTATGGTACGATGTCGTCTGTTTAGTTTCTATATACACCCAGTGTATTTTGGAATACATGATTCATATCGCAGACGCTGAGATTAGTGTTCTGGACTTAACAGGCAGGAAGAAGGAGCAATAAAAACTCTAGACTGCTCGTATGGGTTTTATGCGTCATTGATCTGGTCGATAAACCACTGTTATCTAATTGGCAGTATCATTTATTGTTATTATTAATGGCTTTCTTCAATATTATATTTTGTTAAAACATAGAAATTCTCAGCACAGGCTATTTCAACAAGTTTCTTACACACAACAAAACAGAAACAATGACAACAAAAGGAAGGAAAGGTTTAAAAACAATCTGAAAAACTGTACAACTTTTCAAATTAGAGACATGGTTAAGAATGCAGGTTATTGACTAGGTTGACTTTAACAACCTGTGCATCACAGAGTATATTTACTAGGTAAGGTATTATAGAACTTTTATACTTTTGCTTGCGCGCATGGATTTGAATGTAATTACGTCTCGTTCTACCAGAAGATATACAAGCAGAAAGATAAGAGTGAAAGGGATGGTTAGTACCTGCCAAAAGTTTGCATGATTTTAAATGTCTATCCACAACCATAATAATTATGACCTCGAAAGATTCACCACACATCTTGCTAACTGCCTACAACACTTTCCGCAATATAGCAAAGTCTTTCCTCAAAAGCCCGGGAAAGAATAATGGAGAACAGTAAAGAATAATAGGTAATATGCAATAATTGACAAATTGTAAGAGTAAATGACGAGTATTCTCAACAGCATGCAATCTCTTTATGTAGTAAGTTAGACGGGAAACCTTCTTCGATAACAATAAAACGTGGGAAGACCAAGAGAGATCAGAGGAAAAGGTAACATCAAGATAATTGACCTACGACACTGGATTTATCAGAGTCTCCAATAGCACAAGCATTATGGGATTTCAAAATGGTGTTTAGATGCCGTTCATGTCTCATGCTAAATTTAACAGCTTGACATTTAGATGGATTAAGTATAAGACCATTACCAACAGTCCAACAATCAATACGAGACGGAAACTTATTCATTTCTATTGGATGTAAAGAGGACGAGATAGGCATACATACAGTGAGATCATCCGCATATTTCACAAAAGTGTTTTCTGTGGAAGATGGTAGGTCATTCAGAAAAGAAGAGGTGAAAGAAAAGCTCCTTGTGGTACACCTTCCTGAGACAGTAGAGACTCTGAACACTTTCCTCCAAATACAGTGTACTGTTCACTTCCACAGAGGTAGGAACATAGCCAGTTCGTTATCCAGCTGTCAGTGCTGACGCTGATTAACTTGTTAATTAAACGTTGTCATGGTATAGAATCAAAAGCTGAAGTATAGTCCAGAAAAGCGCATCGAACATACTTTTTACCCTTTTCTAAGTTGAAAACTATATTGTGATGCAGAACAGCATCAGCATCTAAGGTGCTTCTTTTGTATCTGTAGGCAAGCTGATACGGATCAATATGCTATTTTATCGCAGGCTGAAGTGGAAGTATTAACAATTTTTCCATTCTTTTGAGGAAGGGTGACGTTATTGCAATAGGTCTAAATTTCACATTCTTATCACCAGATACTTTCTTGGGTACAGTGATTATCTTAATCTTTCTCCACATTTCCGGTATGAGATTAGATGAGAAGGATCTGTTAAAGATAGTCGTGAATGGATAACATAGGACGTCAGCACATTTTTAAAAAAGGAGGTTTGGGACACCATTATGTCCCAAACATCGGGATGAATTAAGTGACTGGAAACATCTCCGTACATCAGTTTCAGTGAAACTAGGAACACAGCTATTTTTTAAACCCGTGGATAGAGGGAGCATCACATCAGATGACTGACGAACAAAAGACTTATTTAAGTCACAAACATTCAGCTGGTTATCGCATCTAAACTGTCTGTCACCTGTAAGTTCTTTAAAGAGTTTCCACATACTTGGAGAGTTTTTGCAAGATAAGAGCTTTTGAGTAAACATACAGTTGAGACGTCTAATCTCTAGGTTTATCAGACCATTTAGCTTACGAACTTCATTAGAGTTCTTCTCCTTGTACATTCTTTCTTTCATCCTTCGTAGTCGTTTTAGTTGTGAAGA